TCATTCATCAAATCGGCAAGGAGTACATTTGAAATAAAAGAAGGCGGAAAATAAGACCAATCAACAATATCATGTAATGAACTAGCGGCCTTAGCTAGTGTGTGAGCTGCTTGGTTTCGGTAATTCTCTAGCAAGAAGACGACACTCTTCAATTAGGATACCAAGATAAGAGTTGTCAACTCCATCATTCAGTAGAGCACTATAAACCAAGAGAGCATCCATTTCAATGGTTTGGACCCCGATGAATTTAGATTTAATCCAAGAAAGGGCCTCACGAACCCCCAAAGTTTCGGCGATGAGTGGATCAACAATACCTTGAATAGGAACAACTCTGGCAGCAAAGAATGACCACAAATCATCTCAAATCACAAGACCAACCCAGACTTCCTTTTATTTTCAAAAATGGTTGCATCAATGTTTAATTTGAAGGAACCCGTAGTAGGTGGTTTCCACTTATCAATCTCCGGTCTATTGGAGCTAACCGTAGGTTGTGGTAGTGGCCGATTAGCATCACGCCACTAGTAGAGGATTTTTTTTGCAAAAGTCACCACTTTAAGCACCGTAAACGACTTAGCTTTCCAAACAATTTCATTACGGTTCATCCAGATGGCCCAACAAATCACGGCGATTAGCTCTTGTTCTTGATGATGAATACTCAAGATGGCTATGAGCCATTCTTTGAAATTAGTAACCATAGGGGAAGAATTGACTACTCCCACTACCTCCCAAACGTTTTGGGCAAATTCACAAGAGACGAGAACATGGAGAACAAATTCTTCGTGCATTGAACAAACCGGGAAATGGCTATCAATGGCGACTCTTTTGGTCCTCAATTGATCAACTGTTGGAAGGACAGTCAGAGATGCCCTCTAGAGTAAGTTTCGAACCTTCGTCGGAATTTTGCATCTCCATAGATTGTTCCAGAAGCTCTCCATAGCAGTGTAAGAGTGTAAGAAAGAATCCACCATCAATAGCTTATATCCACTTCTAATCGAGTAAGCACCCTTCATGTCATGAATCCAGTACATTCGATCTTCCCTCCCATGGGCTGTTAGAGGAATTTTTATTATCTAGCAACGGTCTTCCTCATTGAAGAGATCAGCAAGGAGATTATAATCCCAACTGTTCTCACCTGCTATAATGAGTTGATCGACAGTGGCGTCTTCACTCCCTGGGCGTGGTTCTGAGGTTACAAAACCTTAGTTGGAGTTAGGAAGCCAGTGGTCTTGCTAGATTCTAATCGATGAGCCATTTCCTACTCGGATTCTGCAACCATTAAACTACGCCAGACATAGCTTGGCCTATAGCCAATTTTAGCTTCCAAGAATGTTACTGAAGGAAAGTAACGTGCCTTATAAATCCGAGCGACCAAGGAAAGAGGCTGTGTTAACAACTTCCAGCCGAGCTAACCGAGGAGAGCTAGATTAGTTTCATGCAACTTCTTGAATCCCATACCACCTCTAGATTTTGGAAGACAAAGTTTATCCCACGCAATCCAATTGATGCCTCTGTGTCCCCCTTGATTAGATTGCCACCAAAATTTATTCATAATTCTCTCAAGTTCTTCACAAAGGTGAATAGGGATCAAAAACATACTCACAACGAAATTAGGAACAGCTTGGGCGGCGGTCTTAATAAGGATTTCTTTTCCCGCTCTAGATAAACACTTCTCTTTCCATCATTGCACTCGTTGCCAAACCCAATCTTTAATGAAAGAGAAACCCTCTATTTTCTTTCTCCCAATAGTAGATGGCAAACCAAGGTAAGAATGGAATTTGGGTGGAAAGAAAATGAATTACAGATAATTGAATTGCCTAGAATTGTTTTCTTGGGAATTGTCAATTAATTGTGTTTGATTAATATAATTTTTCACCTGAAAAATGTTGAAATTTTGGATCTTTTGGTGTTCGTTTGATTTTGTTTTCCGTGGAAATTGTCCATTAAAGGAAAAAAAATTACAATTGGAGATATAATTTGTTCAAAAAAAAAAACTCTGGAAAACCATTTTCTTACCAAAGTGGTGGGAAAACCAATTCAATGAAAACATGGAAAAGGGGTCACGTGAGGGGGGGTTGGGAGGAAAATATTTTGCCAAGAGAAATTTGGCTATCAAACAAGACAAAAGTTAGAACTTGGAAATAAGAGCCTAATTGTACTAAACTATACAATCTTTGTTGTTATCATATTTATACCATCATTTTTTTTCCTAATATTTCATTAACTCGTGGAGTTCAAATATTTGATTAGTATGTGACGTTTTTATATTTATATTATTTCTTTACTTATTTAAAAATATGAAGGTTATAAGTCTTATTATACCTTTTTAATTTAAATTTTATAAATAAATTATCGTCTGGATCGAAATATGCTAATTAAAGAAAAGTTAAAAAATAAAAAATATCTAGACATAAGTACGATAATGAGCGAAAGTAGACCTTTAGCATAATCAAAAAGTGATGGGAAAAAAAATGTACATATATAATTTATTTTTTATGAAGCCATGTAAAATTAATTAGTTGGGTGTCCGCAATTGAAATTTTTAAAATTCAACCATAAGCAGTTATTAACAAGACAACCAAATGGAGGGATCATGCAAATGTCACGAAAGCATAGCTTCCACGCCAATTCCAACCTTCGAAAATGGCGGATTAACTCTCTTTCTCTCACCCTATATTTATATATTACACGCAATAATATTTATTACGTCACATTACCTGTTGCATTTCCAGGATCGGGTTTCTCTCTCTCCGACACAGATTTGGCGGTAGGCCGTTCATTCTGCCTATTGCTTTGCCTCTTCAGATACTTCTTTGACAATACTCATTTTCTCCATTTTTACTGAATCGTATTCTCTGCTGTATGTAAAATTCATGAATTATGTATTATAAAATATGATGATACAGCGGGAGTTTGAAATTCTGTGGAATTTGACTCGTTAACTTTCATGGTTTGTGATGGGCCTGGTTAATTTTGTTTATTTTTTTAAATTTTTTTTATCTTTCTTGGGATTCGGTGTATTGCCATGATTGTCATCATATTCGGTTTCATTTCTGATTTTGATTTGTTCTATCTGTAAAGTTTTCAGTATTGATTTCAACGGAAATTTTCTGAAGTTGCTCCACTTGTTAGCAAAATCTTTGTTTTGCAACGAATCATGTGTACTTGTTTGTGTTTTTGTAACACGCAACCTTCATTAGTTGTATAGATCCAAATTTTCTCAATGTGTATAGAATCTCTTGTTTTTGATAGGTTTTGAGTTTTTGACAAGTACAAGACATGTTTGTTATTGTTATTTTATACAGCATTGCGTATTAGATACATTGTACTAAGTAATCTTTTGTTATTGGAAGGTTTTGAAATTTTGGGAATGAAATGTCGATGAGAGGCTTGTTTAGGTGGCTGTTTATATAATGCCTCTTAACCCAAGGGAAAGAAATTAATGGATTCAGCGAGGAGTTGGTTCCAGAAGTTTCAACCACAGGATCGCTTGAGGTCGTCAAGTGAGAAGGATTCAATGGGAAGTGGAAGAGAAGATTCAAATACGCTTTCCTCTGAGGAAGCCTCAAATCTCACTAAACAGAGAGTCGCTGCAGCTAAGCTGTACATAGAAAATCATTACAAGACACAGATGAAGAATCTACAGGAAAGGAAGGAGCGGTATGGCACGTGACTTGAATTATCTGTATTTAATTATGTTCGAAACATTCATGCTTCTTATTTTGGTATTCATTAGTTTTTCACAACTTAATTGTGCTCGGTTAGTATGATTAGCATTTGCATATCAATGGAATGCTTAATCATTGTTCAATTGATTCTCTGAATGCCTACAAGAAAATAGTTACCTTTAAAGTGAAACTTCCTATTTATCCGTTTACTATGTATTGAACAGCTATTTAGTGACACCTGTGGAACAAATGGTACTAAAATTTAGGTCTGATGTATGAGGTTCATGCTCATTAGCACCCTTAGGCCTTAGCAGATATTGTGAGTACCAACACGTTTCAAGGTCAAGATTGATGTATTTCTCATCACAACTGTTTTCTTTTATCATTACTCTGGCAAGGTTTTTAACTAAAAGCAGCAAAAATGAATTTTTGCCTTTCATTGATTTTTTTTTTATTTGTAGTGTATTGCACAGTAAAATTTCTCTCAGAATTTTAGTTGCCTAGTGACACTATATTTTCAGATTTCTACTGCTTTCATAAAGTCACCATCTTCTACTCCTGGGTACATGCAATACTATTTTGAATTTTTTGCTCAAACAGGCGAAATTTACTTGAACAGAAGCTAACTGATGCTGATGTATCAGAGGAGGATCAAAATAACCTATTAAAATTTTTAGAGAAGAAGGAAACTGAATACATGCGCCTTCAGAGGCTCAAAATGGGTGTTGATGATTTTGAGTTACTGACAATGATTGGGAAAGGTGCTTTTGGGGAGGTAAAGATCATTAATGAAAAATATGTCTGTCTTGATTTCATTTACTTTTGATTATTAATTTCGCAATTTGTTATTCATATCTGTACTTCAATTTGTGATAGGGCCATTTATCAACCTTTTGGATTTTGTTACGATCACTTGATGAATTAACTATATAGAATGTTGCTAAGAATAATAATTAAATAAAGACTCTAAAGAAGTCTTGACCTTTTTCCCTTTACTAAACAGGAAGTGCTTATCTTGGTGAAGCAAGGAAGCATGAATGATCTTCATTTCGTAGCCCTTCATTACTGTTAGGCATAAGGTGAAATGTCAGATCATAGGTCCTTCTTGGGTTCAATTGGGTGCGTGAGCAATTTTAGTAACCAAGTGCTTATAAAATAAAGAATGGTATTGAAGTTGCTGAAGCTGTCACATGCCCCCTACCTTTCAAAGATTGTGAATAACTGAATCAATTTGCACTTAGTTTCCAGAACTTCTTTTAAACTTCCACTTCGATCAATAATTTTCTACTTGGTTAAGTATTGAGACATTCATGATATAGTATAGAGTTCCTAAGAGTATGCAATTCCTCATCAGATTTATTAATAAAATAAAAGAGAGGCTTCCAATCTTCATGTGGATCATTATTGTTCCACAAGTTACTGTTGCATTTTAACACATTTTTCTTGTAAAGTTTAAAGGTAAGGAAGCTAGATAAGTGTTACAGTACTATATTTTAGTATGAGTTTACAAATTCATGGTTCATAAAGGGTTTACTGTTCCCTTATTACTCTGTTACTGTATATAAAACAACAAAATGTTAGTTTATATCTGATTATTTCCTTTAGTCATTCTCTTAGTTAATCGTTTATAAGGTTGTATATTTAACCTAAGTAATACCTGGTCGTATTTCCTTCTTGGATCATGGCTTGGGCTACAGCTGATTTTAGTGGCAGAGTTGACTCAAATATATTGATTTTCTGTCAATTCCACGATGGTTAGGGAAATTTTTTGGGGTTGAGATGCTTTTACTACTTTATATTTTAGCTATTTTTTCTTCGTGGAAATAGAAATTATCCATTTGTTATTTAATCAAACTTATGCAAATTTTTGTGTGCCCTAAAGAAATATATGAAAATGAAACTGTTAAGTTACTATTTTTGTGTGGGTCAAAGAGATAACTTAATTGTCCTGTTGAAATCATAAACAATTTCAATTTTGTATTATGCCATATATTATATTTTTATGAATTC